ATGGTCTGAATGGACCCATTGTTCTGTGTCTTGTGGGCGGGGCATCCAACAGCGTGGGCGCTCTTGCGACCGTATCAATAACAACTGTGAGGGCACCTCTGTGCAGACCCGAGACTGCTACCTCCAGGAGTGTGACAAGCGCTGTGAGTTAACACAACATACTCTCACCCATCATCCGGACACAAACGACACAAACAAATAAGCAGCCAGCCTGATTTACATGTAGTAAGTCTGTGATTTTACTTTGACTTTTGCCAGCCTGTCATCATCAGTGTTCCATGATGTATGAAATAGAGTGCCACAGTGGTCCAACGCTTTGCTTTTCTGATAACTGACCCCTGACCTTTTTTTGCGGCTTTCAGTTAAGCAGGATGGCAGCTGGAGCCATTGGTCACCCTGGTCATCTTGCTCTGTCACCTGTGGTGCTGGTGTCATCACCCGTATCCGCCTCTGCAACTCCCCCACCCCTCAGCTTGGAGGAAAGGACTGTGAGGGAGAGGGTCGACAAACCGAGAAATGTCAGAAGTCTCCTTGCCCCAGTAAGTTCCATCTGATATTCGCTGCTTGGTTGTATTTGTGTGTTATATATAGCAAGGATAGAAATGATTCATGTTTTCTTCTTGTCTCCCATAGTCAATGGCAACTGGGGACCCTGGTCACCATGGGATACCTGCACTCTAACCTGTGGAGGTGGTGTCCAGATTCGTAAACGCCTGTGCAATGACCCTGCACCAAAATACGGTGGCAAAGAGTGTGTTGGTGATGCCAAAGACACCCAGTTGTGCAACAAGAAAGCCTGCCCAATTGGTAACGCACTTACAGAGCTTCTATAATTGAGTTCCATGTATCTGTATAATTAAAACATAATTTAAACATAATTTCTGTACTTTAATTTAATATATTGCTCTTGTGTTTGGGCACCCTTTTTATTAGAAGTTTTAATTATTTAGTTATACTTTTATATACTGAGATGTCCCTTTGCAATGAGATCATTACTGAAATGAGATTTACCTGATTAAAAGGTTCTGAATGATAGCTTTGATGTTGTAGTTGATGTCTTGCTAATGAGCCAACCTTGTTGTTTTCAGATGGATGCCTGTCTAACCCCTGCTTTGCTGGAGCAAAGTGCACCAGTTTCCCAGATGGTTCCTGGAAGTGTGGAAAGTGCCCAGCTGGATACTCTGGCAATGGTATCAAGTGTAAAGATGTTGATGAGGTAAAAATTCCTTAGAACTTGTATTGTGATTTTTTCAGCTACAAACATGGATTGAGACTACTAAGTCTCCAGTTTAACAATCTCAATGGTTGTTCTTTTCATCCTAAAACAGTGCAAGGAGGTCCCAGACGCTTGCTTTGAGTTTAATGGTGTGCACCGCTGTGAGAACACAGATTCTGGCTACAACTGTCTGCCCTGCCCTCCTCGCTACTCAGGACCCCAGCCGTTTGGCAGAGGTGTGGAGCAGGCTGCTGCTAAGAAACAGGCAAGTACAGTCTTGTCTTTGTATTAAGCAGCCAATCAGAAAACAACAGCAAATTCTCCGTCAAAAGGAGATACCAGCTGATGAAACACATGATAAATATTGATAAAAGGAATAGTTGATGTAAGGAACAGAATGCCATGCATGTTGACTACGCAGTTTGATCATTGATCATTCAAACTATGCGTCCCCTCTCCAGGTGTGCACGCCCCGTAATCCCTGCCTCGATGGAAGCCATGACTGCAACAAAAACGCCCGCTGTAACTACCTTGGACACTTTGCCGATCCCATGTACCGCTGCGAGTGCAAGCCTGGCTATGCTGGCAATGGGCACATCTGTGGAGAGGACACAGATCTGGATGGATGGCCCAATGCTGACTTGGTTTGTGTGGAGAACGCCACTTACCACTGCAAAAAGGTACATAGTGGTGAAGCAGCTAATTTGATGAAGTAAAGTCACTTAAGAAATTTCTGTGATTGTGATAATCACTGATTGTCTAAATGCATTGTATGTTATCCAGGACAACTGTCCCAACCTCCCCAACTCTGGGCAAGAAGATTACGATAAAGACGGCATTGGAGATGCTTGTGACAATGATGATGACAATGATGGCATTCCTGACGACAGGGTAAGTGAACCTCTCCAGATGTGGCTATAACAGTGAACAAGGGAGTGTGTGTGTTTGGTGACTGGGATTTTTGGATTCATCATTCATACTGTCTAATAATAAGGCTGGTGGAGAGAGGGAAGGGGAGGGGTGGATCAGCGAGAAAGCAAATGTTTCTCCCCAGCCTGAGCCAAAACCTCAAATTCCAACACTGAGGTACAGCTTTGAAGGAGCTGCACTGTGTGTTTGTTAATCCTAACATTAGATTTGGGACAGGACCTAAAAATAAAGCGCCTTTTCATCCTGCATCTCTCCCGCCCTGTAAACAGATCCACTCAGGCTCAGATGGCGAACGACAAGTACTGCACCTGAAAACCTATCCTTAACTCATTCTCTTCTCCTTTGTAAAACAGGACAACTGTCCATTCGTGTACAACCCGAGGCAGTATGACTATGACCGCGATGATGTTGGTGACAGCTGCGACAACTGCCCCTACGATAGTAACCCAGACCAAACGGACACAGATAACAATGGAGAGGGAGATGCCTGTGCTGTGGACATCGATGGAGATGGTGAGAACTAAATCTTTATGTCTGTGCTGAAGTGAGGTCATGCTTTTTGAGTAACATATTTTGTACTGGCTTTTCATATCATGTTTCCAATTTATTCCCAAGGCATACTGAATGAGAAGGACAACTGCCCCTATGTGTACAATGTCGACCAGAGAGACACAGATCTGGATGGAGTGGGAGACATGTGTGACAATTGCCCTCTTGAACATAATCCTGATCAGGTGTGTAGACACACACACACATACACACACACACACACACACATATATACACACTACCCTTCCCCATTTCCTTCCACCTCACCCACCAACAATAATCCACATTTATCCGCCTGCCTTTTTCTATAGCTCAGCATATATCTGTCTTTCAATTGAGACAGAGCCTCAGTGATTAGCCCTGTGTAGCTGTCTAGGCTTTATCATGCCATGTAAAGGTGGAGTAAATCCTGTATGCAGCTTAAGGGCACATCAGTTCAATAAGGCGTGATGGGGGGCTAGGGGTCTTTTCAATGGCCCATTGACGTTAGCTAGCTAATGTGAGGGAAGAGGCCCCAGGCTGGATATTACCGAGGAATGGGCTCGCCCTGGGCTGTGTGCATGCCCTGTCTGCGCACCACAGGCCGGCTCAGTCCACCTGTGCCATGCTACACTGAGAAATAGGAATGTGATGAACAACAGGGCTCAGGCAAAGGATGGGGAAAGGAGGGGGTAGTCTAAATCTATACTGATGTGGTTTTTAAAAAGTGAATTACTTGCTGCAATTCAAAGCCAAAAGAGACAAGTCCAGACATGGATGCAGCAATGCTATTTGCTATTTCAAAGACTACAAAAACTGCACAAAAATGCCCTCTTCAAACGTTGTAGTCTTATTGAGCTCTTTGACAGTAGAATTTTCGATGATCCACCCCTGCTCCCACCCTCAATGTCCTTCCATTTATCTCCCTTGCCCCTATTCTTTCTTAGTGCCGCAGGGGGTGTCTAGTCCTGCCAGGTAGGGCTAGCATGACTTCTCCTTCACTGCAGATGCTGGAGGCATTTAACAAGCAAATTGGAGTAGGAGGAACAACAGTCATGTGGAGTGATGTTAGATTTTCAGTAGCTGAAACCTGCTGACAGATTGTGGACAAATTGAGCTTGACAGCTTTACAGAGGCAAAGTGATTTCAGCCTAAGGAAAGTCCTTAATGGAAGCAGGAGAGGAAAGATGAAATATCAATGGTAGCAGGAAACACACAGTGGAATGTAATCACCTGTGTTAATACTCCATTTTCCCCTTAAGCCATGCATTAAGTCATAACTCTAACGCAAATTGCAGGTGGATTCAGATGATGACCGTGTGGGAGACAAGTGTGACAGTAACCAGGACATTGATGAGGACGGACACCAGAACAACCTGGACAATTGCCCGTACATCCCCAATGCCAACCAGGCTGACCATGACAAGGATGGCAAGGGAGACGCCTGTGATCATGATGACGACAACGATGGCATCCCTGATGACAAGGATAACTGCCGACTGGCCTTCAACCCTGACCAATTGGACTCTGATGGTGAGCGAAATCGGCCGTGAGCAGTTCTAAAGCAGCAATAAACTGAAAGCTCACAGCATGTCTGGAGACCTTAAAAAAGAGTAATATCATTAATGAATTAATGTATATTTTTCAGGTGATGGCCGTGGAGACGCTTGCAAGGATGACTTTGACCAAGACAACGTGCCTGACATCTATGACGTCTGTCCGGAGAACTTTGACATTAGTGAGACAGACTTCCGCAAGTTCCAGATGGTTCCTCTGGACCCCAAAGGCACCTCGCAGATTGATCCTAACTGGGTTGTCCGCCATCAGGGCAAAGAGTTGGTTCAGACTGTCAATTGCGACCCTGGCATCGCTGTTGGTAAGTAAAAAGAATGTGTTGTGATTGTCAAAATGAACCCAATTTCACTCAATTAGCGTACATTCAATATAATTTATTCAGCTGAAATTGTCTAACTTCCCTTCCTATTTTCCCTTCAGGTTACCACGAATTCAATTCAGTGGACTTCAGTGGGACCTTTTTCATCAACACAGAGAGAGATGATGATTACGCTGGTTTTGTGTTTGGTTATCAGTCAAGTTCCAGGTTCTATGTCGTGATGTGGAAGCAGATCACGCAGACATACTGGTCGAATAAACCCACCAAAGCCCAGGGCTACTCTGGTCTTTCCATTAAAGTGGTTAACTCCACCACTGGCCCAGGAGAGCACCTCAGGAACGCCCTCTGGCACACAGGGAATACCACAGGACAGGTAAGAAATGTGGTGGGCTCCTGGAGGTTCTATCACCCAATGGATGATTGTGTAAAAATATTAACTCAAGGCTGTTTATTTCCCCATTCTTTAGGTCCGCCTTCTCTGGCATGACCTAAAGAATGTTGGATGGAAAGACTTCACTGCCTACAGATGGCATCTGATCCACAGACCGAGAACAGGACTTATTAGGTGGGCAGAGGATATTAACTAGTCCACATAGACGTGTACTCTTCACATGATGTTAAAATCCCAAGCTTTGGACCTCACCAACTTTAATTTTTTCTTTATTCCCACAGAGTTGTGATGTACGAGGGCAAGAAGATCATGGCAGATTCTGGTAACATCTATGACAAGACATATGCGGGTGGCAGGCTAGGTCTTTTTGTCTTCTCACAAGAGATGGTATACTTCTCAGACCTCAAGTATGAATGCAGAGGTAAGGAATTACATAAAATCAACCAAAGTGATCGTAAAAGCAGCATCCCAGAAAGCATTTGATGTTTGGCTCTTGAGGAGGCCATATCCAACTTATTTTATTCTGTCTCTTTCTTTTAACAGATGTCTGAATGCACAGCGCAGGAAGCTCTGAGGAATGCACCTTTTTTGTATAAAGTATGAACTTATGTATTCTGATGCAAAGTCCAGGGACCGATCTATCTCCGCACCTCTTTCTTCTGTGGCACGCACACTCGGACGAGGCGAAGGGCATGTGGTCAGCCTCAGGGTAGCTTGAGGCTGGTTCGGGCAGAGCACCAACCTGTTGACTGCCACTTGAGGATCAGAGAGCGCCTTCTCCTCCATCCATAGCATCCACGAGAGCAGGGAGAGCTGGATAAAAAAGAAAACAAACCCTCTAGCTCTGCCATTAGGACACAAACACCTTTCTATCCCAGCTCCGCCTGCTTTCTCGCTCTCTGAAAGACCTCATTCATCTCTGTGCGGGAACGGCTCCCCATAGACAACTATAGCCACTTCCAAGCCTTTACATCTCTCTCTCTCTCTCTCTCTCTCTCTCTCTCTCTCTCTCTCTTTCTGTCTCACTTCTTCAGCCTGTGTGCCTTTCTACCTTATTTTCTGGGTGGACATCCCAAAGGAAAAAAAAAATATTCCCTTTGCTTTACCATATCTGCCAGGATGTAGATTCTGAATGATACAACTTTTGAGGACTCAAAGGATGAAGACAGCAGTAACATGTTTTTAGGAATCTTTGTTGTTGAGGACTTGTGACTTAAGAAAAGGGTTGGGAGTGGAGCAAGTTAGAAATAAGGGGAACATGATGTTGATGTTTGTGTTCATGCACTGTATGTGTATCTGGCATACAGTGCATCTACCTAAGAATCTCTGTAGAGAATAACTATGGAGAAGATAAATATAAAATTAAATTTAGGTTAGCTAGCTTTTTAACTTACAAGTATCACAGGCTTTGTTGATGTTGTCTGGTTAACTAAACAACTCTCAGGGTGAGATGGAAGTGACAACCTTCCCATATCAAACCAGTAAGAAAAAAATATGAGGATTATATTTTACAGAGAATTACTAGCGCTAGTGATCTCAAAGCCAGTATTGCTTCCAAAATACTCCCCATCAAAACCTTGGTCAATAAAGAGATTTATCTCCCTCAGCTTTTGAGGATTTCAATTTAAAATTATGTAAATACAAGTAATTTATTTGACTCTTGCCTACAATGTAGGCAGCAAAGGAAATTTGAATGCTTGGAAAAAGTAAAATCCATGCAATATCACAACAGAAACGCACCCAAAATCAAGTACAGCCAGGTGTCAGAAACTGGATGCTCGCTCTTGTCAGTGTCTATCATCTCCCTTTGTACAAAGTGAATTAGGTATTCTTCAGATAGCATAAGTGTATGTGACTTGTGTGCCTTTTCTTCAGAGAGAGATGAAAAACAAAGGAAATCTTTGATGTACAAATATTACCTCATTGCTGTTGTATAATTTGATCAAACAAAAACACAACCTAAGTACTTTTTCATATTCCTTTGAAATGGTGGACATCTTAGTGCTACTGTAGCATGAGTTGTAAATAGTATGACATTTCATATCTAAAAAACACATTGAGCTCCCAATCCCGTGATCTACCCCGGTGAAAATTACAGTAAAATGGGAGATTTCTTTTTTATAAATAATTTTGCTTTATCATGTATGTCCAATGCTGTTTTTACCAGATAAATTATTGTTCTGTTTTGTCTTAGCTGTTTGTGAGAGGTTGATTTGTGTGTGTGCGTGTGTGTAGATAAATGCTATTTAAATAATTTATCAGGATTTGTTGCCTTACCAAAGGGCACATGTCCATCTGTATAAACGGTTTGCACACTGACGTGAGGATGTTCTGTTCTTTATCGTTTTTACCTTCTTTGTTATTGTGTATCATTGTTACCATTATTTTTGTACAATTAGTTTGGCTTGTCTGTAAACATTTTCTTAGTTGTACAAAGCAAAAATGCTGTTTTTAATTATAGCGATTATTTTGTTACATACTTCAAGACAATAAATAGTTGTTAAAATTCTCAAGAATGTCTGGGCTTTTGTTTGTCTTTTCTTTGAGCTGTTTTATAATTTTCCATCCAAGTCCAAATCCATTGTTTATCAAGTGTAGATCTTGTTTAGTTGACATGGAAATACATGTTTTACATTAAACACAAACTGGTGGACGGCTCAGACCAGACTTGATGTAGGCCTTTTCTGACCAGAACACATCACGAAGACAACCGGCTTTGATTAGGTCTACTGAAGCCCCAATGAATATACTCAAAGTCAAAGCGATTGCCCAGTTTCCCCAAGGCACAAACAGAGTAGTGCTTTAAGGCCTTTCTCTCTGCAGAGAGGCACACATCGCCTCTGTGATGAAGGCCACATGAGGAATGTGACACAGACGTCTGCTCCTCAGCTTGATCTGCACTGACCTCTGCAGAAGGTTAAACAACATGGAGAGCAAATATTAGACCGACACAAACCTTGACATTGGCTGACTGACTTCGGGACACACAGACTGATGAAATATACTGGTGGACAAAATAGCAGAAACACAACACAGGAAGAGCACAAAGTGTCCTCATAGATCCCTGTTGTGTATCAAGAGTACTCTGATTTGTCTCAATCAATTTGAACATCGTGAGTTCATTATAAGTTTTGAAAAACACCTGAAACAGACATGCATACACTAAATATATTTTCCAAAAAAACAAAACTGGCAACACCACCAATTAATGAGAAGCAGGCTCCAAAAGCAATACATGTAATTTTTCTCTGTAACCACAGTTCTCACAATTCAATGCAAGGGGTCACTATCCAACCCGAGTAAACTGAGTACAAATAAAGACACGGCCCGACTAGACTTTCCGTTGATGTTTGAGTTTCTGTGACCATGGTGGCTACATCTTTGCTCATGCAAAAAACCAAGCTCTTCTTCAGTTTTTACTGATGGGCCAACCAGACACAATGTGGTTTGACATGTTCAGTAAGAGCTTTTTATGAACTGAGTATAGGATGACTCACTGTTCTTCTGTAGCAATCACATGGAGAAAGGCAAACAATTATTGGTTATACTATGACATTTTAGCCTTTTTTAATCCGGGAAGTCAATTATAAAGTCTAAAAGTTCTTATTAAAGATGACAACGCAGCATGAGTTATTATGGATTATTACAATGTGCCAGCACTGAAGGCTAGACATCTTAATACCATTTGCAGTTCTCACACGTCCCTGCCAGCTGTCTACAAACTTCCACGTGTTTACTCTCAGACCCTTTATAGGCTGCATGTCAGGATGTGAGTGTTGCCACATTGGGAATCCCCACCGGTTTCACACACAGACAATTATCTCACGTTAATTTTGTCTTTCAGTGTCTGACTATGTCTGTAGTCTGTTTTTATGTACATTATGTTATATCTTCCTTATATTTTGGAAATTAAAATAGTGACTAGTGATAATAGTTGTATCCTCCCAGAGCCTAATGGGTCTTATACAGATGCAGTGATACAGTACAATTATTCTGAAGCTACTAGCTATATCCTGATTAGATTTAGATATATTGCTTTAAGACACCTTGATCAAGAAACTATTTACGGAAACCACAGTGTGTCATGTTGCCCATTCTTAGATTTTCCCAGCAAGACCAGGACTTCAAACCGGCAGCCTTCCGGTTACAAGTCACGACTATGATTGCTTGCCCCACACACACTCCTTAAGTAATGACAGACCAAAGCTGAAAATGACCCACCCAATAACCTCCAGCACCTTTAATGGGTCTACAAAAAGCACCTTTTGCAGTAAAAGGATAATACATTAGCCTTGAAGTCTAGCAACTATTGCAAAGTGCTGATGAATGGAACAAAGGCCATCCACCCTGGTGTTACAACGGCTTTATTTAGCTCCTGTAATCCACCCAGGGAAGTGGAGAGACTTCGCTCCATTTGCATAACCCGCTGCCACAATTGGCCTGAAACCTCAATCTTAAACCCTGAAACGCTACATTTGATCTGGCCTCCCTCCGCCTCTAGTCTGTCATTCAACACCTTTGTGCTTCATGCTGCTGTGTATTGAGGTGTTGAAGTGTTATGTTAAGATGGAGGACCCCCCACTCACTACTGTGCCATTCACCCACCATGCACATTTGTAAGCACAGGAGCTGTAAGACACCACCTGTACATACAGTATCTGAGACTCAAATAAGAATAGAATAACATTTTCTTGAACAATAAAAACTAAGTCTGGAATGTGGTTTTAGTCAAGGCATTTTCTTTCCATCATAGTATTAGTTGGGTGTGTAGGGTGGGATCAAAATACAACCTCAATGACACCTGCAGTCTACTGTTTTTTAAGAAAAAACAGCTGCAGGCGCCACAATTGTTACAATCATTACTCCAGTGGTTATGTAACACCTTGAGTCATCTGGGCTTTCTGATTCCACACATGCTTGGCCTTGCTGTTGCTAGAGATCTTTGCCTAATGGAGCCTTCAACAACTGAAGCATCTATAATCCAGAAACACCTACTTATTACATCCGCTCTTGCTACTTTTCAATCAATCAATCTTACATATTTTTTCTGTCAACCAACAGTACAAAACACAAAGGCAGTTTTATTAACCATGATGTAAAACAGGAAAGATCAGCAAATCTTCACATTTGGGATGCTGGAACCAGAAAATTTTTGAAATTTTTGCTTGATAAAAGGACATCACTAGTTAATCAACTTGTCAATTCATTGTCAAATGGTTTCACCACTAGTTAAGTGGTTAACTTGTTAAGTTGTGATATCTCACTACTTGGGTAGAGAGGCGTATGCAGCATCACCTTGTGATTTGGGCCAATAACATATTCATTTTAAGGGTTAGGTGCCTCCTGGATAAACTGGAAAATAACTAATTATTGATTTAATTATTTAGGATTGATTCATCTAGCTTTTAGAAGCCTTGCCCATGCTTACAAGTTGTCGAACTGAACTGGTTTGTTCACTTTCATCCTGTTTTAACTGCTGAACTATGGAAAGTGTTTCATGTTTGTGAAGAAATAAAAATATTTTCTAGTTAAGCTTTGTGTCAAACAGCTAAATGTCATTACTCTATATCAGTGGTCACTGGCACACTTTGGGACCCTTGTTTTATTAACTAAGACTTTCCGTTTCTCAAAGTCAAGGCCCCATGACAGCCCCTAACTACCACTTCAGAACAGTTTAATGAGTTTTACAACAATCAGGGTATCAGTGAAGTTCTTTTGATTATGCCAGACTAGTGACATAACTGCTATATAATCACACAAACACTTAGGCGACTTTTATGTAATTCCCTTCTGTAAGCAATCATAGAAGAATTCCCCATAGAGAACAATATGGTTCCTGTGATTGTTGGCAGTCGCAATGTAGTATTCCTGACTAGGATGTGCTTTGACCTCTGACCCCAGAGCTTGTCGCAGCTGGTGAACTCAAACAGGCAGTGGATATTTTGATGGAAAAATGTGACTTTATCACCTTTGACGCATAGTGATATGTAAAAAAAAACATCTCTAAAACATAATTTTCAGGATGTCATAAATATTTGCTCTCATGTTGGCATGTCCCTAGGACAATAAAATGACAGGTTATGAAAAGCAAGTTCACAATTTAAAAACAGTGAGGTGAAAAATTGTTGATCATTTCCAAGTGTCTGGTATGAGAACCATGCATTGAAATCTAATCACAGACATGTTTTTGAGGTTTTGAGCAAGACATGTCTTACATGTTTGCTTGCCTCTTGAACCCTGTCACTTCTTTGTGCATTACTACTGTTTGTTTTTCCTCCATCTTCTTCTGGACACAAGTGAGGCAGAGCAAGTGTTTGAATAGTGAAAAGATAAATGTTCCAAAACAACCCAAAGAGGACCACGTTGGCAAAACCGTGTTTGACCAGAATTCCATTATGGATGAAATTCGTTCTTGTTCCCTATTTTATCGTTTTGATACAAATGCCAAATGCCTGCTTTTACTTTACTTTTAGTGTGGAAATACCCTGCACATGCTCTCCTCGACTTTAATATACAAGTCCTCCACTATTACGCTTAACGACAACGAGATACAATCTCTTTTTCATGTGTGGCATGTTATTAAAATGTTAAAACATAAAAACAAAAGACCAGTCATGCAGATTTCCATGCAGAGCACCCTGCATCCAATGAAGGTTCAGAATTTAGAACAGCTTTCCTTGTCTCTGCGGAGATCTTTCTTTCCTTTAACTCATTATTTGAAATAAGTGACCTAAAATTCTTTCCTAACTATATATTTTTTCCTAACTTTGCTTACTTAGTCAAAAAGTTTTCCAAGTTTCCAAAATCATCAGGTATGTTCTGACCTTATTTTGACATGTTTTAGTAGACAGTGAAATAAAAAATAAATGTTTCAAGTTCTAATCCTGTGTCCCTGTGTGAATTGGATGTATACATACATTTTGCAAACCAAATGGGATTCAGGGCTCATCAAATAAAACTGCACTTGACTGTTAGCTCGTGGGGGTAGTAGCTAACAAAGCAATATTATAGCAGGAGGTGTGTCTCTGGATGTCATTATGTTACATTACTGAAGAGTGTGGTTGTGGTCTAATTATGATCTGATCTAACAAATGCGTCAAGTAGGTGTGGGTAGAGGCCACCAGTCTTCTACAGCTCCCTATCTTAATCCAATCAAATCTGAAGGATTTTTTAAATCCCCAACTATAGTGCAAACAAATTCTGTTAAATAAAGATCATCTAACTGCTGTTTCATGGTGTCATTAAGGTATGATTAAAGATACCTCTGATGATTTATTATAGTCAAAAAATGGTTCATCGTGATGTTAACGATAAGATATGAGGCAACTGTGTTTCCAATTTGTTGCAGCAATTACTGCAGGCTTTGACAATGCACCTACTAACCACAGAATCCTTTTTTTTGGTGCTCATACATAACAATATGTATGTAGTATAAGGGTGAATGCCCTATACAGACAACAGCAGAAAAGAAAAGACCCCAGACACTATTAGTGTGCTATTCATTAACCGAACT